TCTGGCCTGGGGAGCAGTAGCAAGGAGGAGCGCCGATCGCAATGGACCGCCAGCCAATTCCCCTCCTCATCGTTTCGCGTTCCAGGACAGTCCCCGCCGTCCAATTTTCACAACTATGCACTGCAAACAACATATATTGCATACTACGACTGAAAGAAACAAGCCAAACCCAAGCATTCGCAAGTTGAAAAAAACCGAATTTTTGAAAAATTCGGTCGTTCCGAAATTCGGAAAAAATTTTCCACTGTGTCCTTGCATTTTTGTTTTCACTTTGCTTCGTTCTTCCACTTTCCCCACCACGACTGCTGTGTTCGAGACACCGCAGTGATCAAGACCCTTTTCGACCCCAGCACTGCAATCGCACTCGGCACTGCTGTGGCCGTCTTTCTTTGTTATCTTTTCCCCACATCTTCACGTGTTTTCCTTTTTCAGTTCTTTGCGGTTTTCACTTTTCTCGCACTTTTTTCTCAATCCTTTCTCCAATCTTTCATTCAAGATCTCACCATGCACAGTGGAAAATTTTACCGGATTCCGGTCAGTCCAGTTTTTTCGCTCGTTTTCCCCTCATCGTCTTGAGACTCGAATTCGTCAGTTTGGCTCGCTTTTTTCACTTGCACTGTGATGTATGTGTCGATTGTAGTGCACTGTTGTTGAATTCGGACAGCAGGGACCGTGCTGGACCGCAAACCGACGATGAGGCTGGATTGGCTGGCGGACCATTGGGATCAGCACAACCATGCTCCTGCGCTCCAGGCAAGCTCAGCTCGCGCCTTTACATGTCGGATGATGTGACACGGGTCTGGAAACCTTGTTTTCGAGGCGAGGGCGGACGGGGACGGTCGGATAGACGCAGGAGCGCTGTCGAAGCCCGCCAGCCAAATGACTGCACCAATTGCACCAATTGCACCGCATCTCCACTCAGCATATAGCTCTCATTCTATTAGAATATAGACAAATACACTCAACAATGAACACCTATTAGTCACGCATATTCAAATGCCATGGAACGGAGATGAATAGGTTTTCATTTAAGCTTGACGGACGGTCTTCCAGTGGGAATGTCTGCCTCAGCCCCTCGAGTTGGTCGGGTGTTAATGCGTGACAGTAGCCGCTGCAGCCAAATGGTTCGAGAAGCGCGATTTCGTGGGTGTGGGGGGTCCGTGACGTGTAAACGGGATTTCTGCCATACTCGAAACCGGTCGGCCGGTAGTACACTTCAATCTCAACGTAGATCGTTTGCTCGACACGCCAAAACATGGCTGGCTTGGCAAACACGGGCCCAATCTGAAGAACTGCCTCGCAGCCGACCTTGGCGAGCGAAACAGATCGCGAGCCCCACAATGACATCTTCAACGTTTTGAACGCGTGAACTTGTCCCTGGAGTTGCGCCCTCCGCAGGGCCGCTGTGAAGACCGTAACAGGCGAACCTCTATTCTCGCGTGTGAGCACACTGGTCACGATGTTATCGACCTTCTCTGGAGTAACAGGACAGCGAGTCAGCACGCCAAACTCGCGACCAGCAACGTAGGGAACCACATCGTCGACGTG